TTATAATATAATAAAAGATTTTCACTTAGAAGTTCAAAAGTGCTATGGATACAGCTCAGTGGCACAGTGCCTGCCTGGCAAGTGTGAGGTCCTGAGTTCAAGTCCCAGTACAAAAAAAAAACTCATAGAAGTTCAAAAGTGTTACCTAGGCATGATGATGCACAACTCCAATCCTAGCACTCAGAAGTGGGCAAGAGGAGCATGAGTTTGAGGTCAGCCTGGGCTACACAGCCAGTTCAAGGCCAGCCTAGACTATATAGCAAGACCTTGCCTCAAAAACAAAACAAAACAAACAAAACAAAACAAAACAAAAGTTTTATTTCTTCCTTGCAAGCAGAGCAAAATAGGAAATTATTAGAATTAGTTAACTCCTGAGGGGCTGTTCGTGTTGACACTGAGCTATTTAAAGTAAAAAAAGCAAAAGCAAGACAGATTTAGTAGATGGGATTTTATACTGTGGAAGACGGGTGGTGGGTCAGAGTCCTCAGAAGCATTTTTCTAGCAGTTTGGGATGGTTATTTTGGCCAGTTATTTTGTGTCTCACATCAAAAACATAATTTTAAAGCCCACAAATCAAATATGTGAGTTTCCAGAGAACTAATCTGACCTGAAAAAGAATTTAAAGCAGTGATTTGCAAATGAGCAGTGAATCTGCTTTTATCAGGAGAAATTTTATGCACTCAGTATCTAAAGTTGATGTATGTGGCTCACCTTCTCCCTGCTGTGGCCCCACATGCCTGGCCTGGAGCCCTGGAGCTGGCTGAGTGGGAGCAGCCAGAGTTGAAGATGGCATATGTATTCATGGTGCTTGCTTCTTTTTCCAGTTCTCCCAGGAGCTGTAACAAGCTCACCACAGAATATCGAGTGGTGGAGTCAATCTACAGGGCTAATTGTGAGGCAAGGCTCCCAAGTTGTTTTTAAAATGTAATTATAAGGACCTACACTGCTAAGCATACCCTCCACATACCACACCAGACTCCTCCTCCCTTCTGCAGCTGAAAAGTCTCTAGGAGATTACTGGTGATGACTATTTTCTCTATGTCTTTTTGTATTTCAAAGTTGTCTGCAGTACATGGGTTTTTACTTAATAATTTTTCTCTGATTATTTCCCTTAGGGTATAAGATGTGATCCTTGTAAGTAAAAATAAAAAGAGAAAATACAGAACAGCATAAAGAAGAATATCAGCTGGGTATGTTAGCACATGCTATAATACCAGCACTTGAGAGGCTGAGGCAGAATTAGTGTGGGTTCAAGGCCAGCCTGGACTACATAGTGATACCCTGTCTCAAAAAAAAACAACAACAAAAGAATATAAAAAATAATCTATGATCCCACCAGGAAAAAAATAAAACTGTATTACTTGTTCTAGGCAGGCTCTTAGTGGCTCTGAATGGTGGACAGTTTGCAGTCCTGTCCTCAGAGGAGGTTAGTGTGCCTGTATTCCCTGTGTCTGACTGAAGGCTGACCTAGTTGGTGATAACTTTGTTTCTGCAGGCAGAAAACACAATGCTTTTAGAACTGGACATGCCCAGTCGGACCACAAGAAACTACGAGGGCCCGGCCATTGCCCCCAAGGTCCAGGCTGCACTGGATGCAGCTCTACAGGATGAAGATGAGATACAGGTGGATGCATCATTTTTTGAAAGCACTGCAATTAAGAAATCCAAGGCCAGGTGAGTGGCTTTTGGTGCATGGTGTTTGAAATAAGGATGAATCAAGGTAGAGGCTGGCAGGAGTGTTTGTTTACTATGGAATGCTTGTAGAACATACTAGACATAGTATGTCAGAAACATGTTTGTTTTTTCACTTATTCCACAAATATGTGTGGTTGAGCCCATGTGCTAAGTATACTGAACACCACAGTACCTAATGTGCCCAGCCCCTTCCATAAGGAGCATGTGTTCTGGTGACCCAGGGCATAGTTCTTTAGTTCCTATTGGTGCTGGGAGTTCCTAAGTGCTTCATGATGATTCTGTTAATGATTTCCTACAAAAAGAAATATCATCAGTCCCATTTTACTGAAAAAATTGGGATATAGAGAATTTGAGAAAGTAGCTGTTTTAATTACTTTTCTGGTTGCTGAGACAAAATACTCAAATCAACACTCAAAAAAAAAAAAAAAATACACGTCACTCACAAGTTAAAGGAGGAAAGGTTTATTTTAGCCCAAGTTTGTAGAGGTTTCAGTTCATAGTCCGCTGGCTCCAAGGCCAGACAGCATAGCAGGGGGACATGACAGAGGAATAAAAAGGTTTATGGAAGGGTAGGCAGGAGGCAACAAGCGGAGAGCCTTCCTTTCCCCTTTCTCCCATCCAGGATATAAGCCTATTGGACGGTGCCACCCACAGCTCCCCATTACCCACAATCAGAACTTTGCTAAACCAATCAGTGGGCTAATCCAGTTATCACATACCCTTAATCCAGTATTGCACACCCATGACCCAGCCCATTCCCAGAAGCCCCCCTTGGGACCACATGAGGCTTCGGGGAACATTTTGGATATAAACCATAACAGTACAAGGTCCAAGGAAATCTAGCACGTAAGTGTTCAGACAGAGCTACTGTTCAAATCTTGGTCTACCTTAACCCACAACTCAGGCTCTGAACCTCCTTGCTAAATTAACCTCCCCGTTTGGTGCAAAAGCAGAATTTTATCTTTGTAAAGTCTAGATTAGAAGTTTAAGGAAAAAATGGGGTAGAAAACAAAAATGAAAAAAATTCTATTTTTAAACTTTTTTTGTTCTTGGAAATATGGTCTTGTTGTGTTACTCAGGCTGGTCTCAAACTCCTGGGCTCAAGTGGTCCACCTGTCTCAGCCTCTGGAGTAACTGGAACTACTGGTGTGTGCCACTGCACCTGAGTTAGTATTTTTTACCAGTTGGGAAAGAACAGTCACACTTAGAACAATTGTTGTGCATCAGAGTCCTCGCACAGGTTTCCTGCCTCTATCAGCAGCCCCTGTTGGCCATGCCAGGGAACAGGCAGGGACAGCCTACTGGTTTTGCAGTTGTGTGTGTCCTGGCTTTCAGGCCACTGAGGAATGGTCACCTTAAAATGTGCATGACACTTGGAACTGTGTGATATCACATGTGCTTGACTTTTGCAGGCCTAAAAGTGGAAGGAAGTCGGGATCTTCCTCCTCATCCTCCTCAGGAACTCCTGCATCTCAGCTGTATCCACAGTCTCGGGGGCTGGTTCCCAAGTAAAGCTGGGGCTCCTCTCCCAGAGTGTGAGCTGCAGTGTTGCCTTCTGAGAAAAGAGACGAGCACGAAGCTGCAGAGGACTTGAGCCCTGACGCAGAACTGTTCCCTGAGGAGAAGCAATGGCCTCTGCAGATTAACCAACTTAATCTGGTCAAATGTGCTGGTCCTAATCCAGCACTCAGCTCCTCTGGGAAATGTCCTTTACATAGCATCTCAGAAATGCATGGGTAAGGTAAAGTGCGATAGTCCAAGAGGACAGCAAGAGAACCACCATGACCTTGCTTCCCTTCTCCCTTGCATTCTTTCCACACCCACCCTCTTTTCTCTCCTCTCCTTTCCTAGTCTGTTCTTCACATTGGGCTCCCTTCTTGTTGAACAATGGGGCAGAGTCAAGGGTCCCCTTTAGCAGGACTGTGTTTTGGATCCTCAGGATAAAGTGACAGTGAGGTTGAAAAGTGAAAGCCCTAGAACTTGAATAGGTGCCTGATCTAGTAGGGAGAAATGAGGCATCTCATTTGCTTCTAAACCCAGGAGGACATGATCAGCAACCTTGCTTGCATGCTTCTCAGTAAGGAGTGGATCTGCTTTGGGGATCTGCTGAATGAGGAAATCTCCTCCAATTTCTGCTCCTGAAGGATTCAGTATCAGAAGCAATAGATACTATTCCTTTGCCTCCTCGGAGAGTTTAGGGAAAATCACTTCTTTCAGACCTCAGAACCATGACTATCCTGTCAAACCTAAGTCTGAAAGCCAGTGCCATGTCCATCCACTATGTCACTTTACTCTTCTTCATTTGTTCCCATCTTTCCCTATGCATGCATACTCTGAGCGTCCCTGTGGAAGCCTGTCCTCTGCCTCTGGAGTGTGCTTCGCAGTGGGCCTCTTTTGTGGGAGAAGGGAGGCTGGCTCTGCCTTCTCTGATGGGACTAGCGTTAGAGAAGGCAGCACACAGTGGCACTTTCTAATTCTGCATTTTGTTCCGTACTGGCAGAGAGAGCAGAAGAGTAGCTAAGCAGAGGCAGAGCTAGAGACATGAGCCTCATCAGAGCAGTGGGAAAGAAGGCAGACAGGTGGAAACAAAGGAGTCTGGCTGCCTTCAGCAGTGAACTCATGAATCCATGAATCCTGGACTCCCACCAGGCAGACTGTTACTCATTCCCCAAGCTCATAAGTGTGTGAGCACAATGTGTCTGTGCCCCATCAATGTGTCCATGTATGTCTAAGAGACAGAGACCAAGAACTTGCCCAATGTTAGAAATATGCTAATGTGAGGTTATTGCCTTTTGTCTGTTAAAGTCCTACTGAATGACTAGTCCAGGCTGGAAGCACTCCTGTGTGGGTGTCTAAGTCCACGAGCCAAGCCTGAGGGGACATTGTGAGTCCCCAGGTCCGCCACACTGGTGCACCTTGCTGGCATGGTGTCTCAGGAAGATGGCGACTCAGGTGGGCCTTGAGTTACATTTTAACTCAGCTGCTCAGTTCCCAGGGCATGTTGCTGGATCAGAACCCATGGGAAAGAGGAGGTACCAAGTGCAATGTGTTAGCCTTCTGGAAAACGGAGGTCTGGTATTCACAGCTCTCTCCTTGTTAGTAACGATTCTTTCTGAACCCAGAGCCCTGCTCAGCAGTTCCACGAGCATAGTGGAGCCTTCCTTCTTTTTGTGGGATCAAACCCTACTTCTTCCTTATTCACTAAAAATTTGCTTGTTTGAATAGGAACCAAATGATGTAACCTAAAATGGTTACCTACTGGTGAACATGTGTCTCACACATTCCTTCGCAGCTAGTCTGACTTCTGTAGGCTGAAAAGAATCATGTAGCAAATCAGAGAACTGAAACTGTGGGTCCCATTATACCTTTACACTGGTGTCCTGAGGTGGCTGTGTGAGCAGGGGTAGTTAAATGACACAGAACGTTTTCGAGAAGGCAGAGAGGAAAGCCGGGTTGACAGACCTGAATACTAAAACAAGCTTGTCTGGTTCTCTGCTGTGTTCATTTGGTGGTCTGGGGACACTCAGTAAAAGGACACTCACTTGGAGATGAAGCTATCCTTTACTAAGCAGTCTCTGGTGCTTTTCTTCTCTCAAAATGGATCCGATAAATATTCAGAAAGAGCACATGGAAAGACGTATTGCTGCCACCAGAATGGTGCTGCTTTGGCTTCCAAATTGAACCACATGTGTAGAGGACATAGCAAGCCCACTGAGGGCATTTGTGCTGGAATGTTCCAGAATGGTGGAGAGCCTTCATGCCAGCAGCTAGTGAAGTCGGACCTCAGAAGACCATCTGGGAGGAGTTTGAGACTCTGCAACCTCGCCAGACTCCCTTTTGCTCTCCTCAGTAGAATGTATCTGGCTTCATATTTTTACAGTCACACATCTCCCAGACCCCTGGATTCAGAACCCAAGGCCACAAATCATAGGCATGAAGCACTTTCTTAAGCCTCTGACATAACGTTGAATGGTTCCCCGTCCACTGCCTGCATGCTGCTTGACTTGCTCCACTCATATCTCCTCAACAAAGGGCACCAGAGTGTTCTGCAGCTCAGGCGTGGGCTGCTCTCTGCTTTTCCTGTCTGACTCTTGTAAGTCCTCCCTCACTGAATGTAGATTTGTTGCCAAGTTTCTGAGAAGCGTCGACTCCCTGTAGCACAGCGAGTCAGTTCTGCCTCACAGCCCCATTTGAAGCCGGGGTGTACTGTGAACCCTCCTTGAACCATCCACACACCATCAGTAGATGAAGTCCAGGCTTTTAATGTACCCTAAAGCCATCCTGAAAATGCTCAGAGAGAACTAGATTCGAACAGTGGGCCTGGCGATTGTCCACCACATGAGGCAGGTCTTGTATGATTTAAATCTGGCTCTTTTCTCTCTGCCTTTGTGTCTTGAATGAAATGCTTTTGAGGTTATTTATAAAAGGAGTGGTCCCAGGTGGGCAGAAGGTGGTGGGCTTTATGGCTCCTTGTAGTTACTATTGATCTTGACCTTCTCTTTGGCTACTTTTAGACAAAGAACATGCCAATACTAGGGGCTCTAAGTTTTACAATTGATATTTATTTGTATCATCTCTTTGTCTAGGAATGTAAAAGTGATTCTGAACTAAGATGTGTAATAAAATCAATCAGATTTATTGTACCTACAAAAAGTTGTCCTCATAAATGGCTAACATTTTTGAAAATAACTGATGCCTGTAGCTGATACACTCTATTTTCTTTAAACATTTTATTTTATTTTGTTACAGGTGGGTAGGAGTGAAAAATACTGAATGGTAATATTGACATTTAAAATATATAGTAACAAGGAAGAAAGACATAAAATGAAGAGAGATACGTCTGGGTGGTAACTTGCTGGTAGAGTACTTGCCTAGAATGTATGAGGCCCGAGTTTGATCTCTGGTACCTCAAAAAAAAAAAAAAAAAAAAAATTGGTGAGGGGAGACAGTAACAAGTACTTTTCGCATTTTTCCATTGTGGCTCCAGAGCTACTCAGGCCCAGGAAAGGGGCATGAACTTTCTTTTTGTCTTTGTGTTTTGGTTTTAAATTTTATTTAAACTTATACATTGTACTTTAAAGTATATCCATGTCTTTCGCAGATGGTGGTACATGCCTGTAATCCCTGCACTCAGAAAAGGCTGATGCAGGAGGGTTGAAGTTTGAGGCCACCCTAGGTTATATAGTTGGTGGTGAGCCTGGGCTACATAGTGAGACCCTCTCAAAAACCCTTTTTTATTTAACATGAAAATATTTTATGTTGTTTACCATCAGGAAAAAAAGAAATACCACAAATGGGCTACGCATCATCTGATGGTTTCTCATACCTCTACACCTGCCTGGGTGTACCCAGGGGTTAAGCACCCTGGCTGGGGAGCCACACTGAGTAGGAGCACAGACTGTGCACACACAGCTGGTTTGATTTTACCTCTCTGTACCATGGGCTCTTTGTCAAATGTGAGGGTAGTCCCACCTTGCAGGGCCATTTTGAGGATTTAGCAGTACATTTAAAGCAGTGAGCACAGTGTGGACACTAGCAAACGTTAAAAAGTATGGTTACTGTGCCAGGCGTGGTACTTCACACCTATACTCCCAGCACTAGGGAATTTATCTCAGAGACCCTATCTCAGAATAAAAAGGGCCGGGGATGTAGTTCAATGCAAAGGTCCTGCATTTGATCTCCACTACCACCAGAAAATAAAAGTGTACAATGAGGCTCTGGTCTGTGTGACTTTAGGCAAAGGTTTCTTAATTGTAGTTCTTCATAAGATGTTCTCAAATTATGTGTAATGTCCCTTTACCATCTGCTCTTCTTTCCCAAAAGAGTTAAAACAGGAAACAAACAAAAAAACCCATAGCTTGCATAGTCTAAGTTATTTTTGCTGGAAAATAAGCAGGGGTCCACAGGATGTATTATTTAGAATCCTGGGCTGGGCTGGGGGCTGATTCCCTAGGACAGTGCACCTGGGCACGTTGGAAATTGCTGCCCACTCATCTTTTGGATTATTATTTTCTTAAAAAAAATGAGAAACTGCTAAATCTTGGAAACTGTATGTTGAACTTCAAACTGATTAATCTTGGGGCAGATTTTGGCAGGCCCTCTGAGATGAGAGGCGCCCTCTGATTGAAGTTTACCCTGAGAATCTGGTCTCCAGGGACCACGTGGTGGTCACATCTCCAGCCGGATTGGCAGTGGCATTTGTCACAACATAACTGTAGCACTTGCAGCTGTCCCCGGTTCATCCCTGATTTCTATCTCCAGGATTGTGGTTAGCCGCTCTCTGGGTGCTTCAGTTAGGTGAGCCAACTGGGGTCTTGCTGTGGGGGCAGGCACAGCGGGCACAGGCGGGGCTGCTCACAGCGTCTCCGGGGACTGTGCAGCCCAGACACGTGTTGAATCCCTCGTGTGCACTAGGGCGCTTGGTCTGCATTGGACACAGGGAGGGGAGTGAAATGCACTGTGGTCCCCATGATAAAAGGGGAGGCAGAAACACACAGGGGACAGAGACCGGGAGCCTCACTACCCACAAGAAGACCTGCTGCTTCCTTGGCTCCCACAACCCTCCGTTTGGTTCCTGGGTTATGCCAGATGCTTTCCTGCCAGCACCTTCTCGTGTGCTCTGTCCTCTGCTGGGTACACTTTTCTCTCCACTTTCTGCTTGGGTCACTCTTATCTGTCAGCTTAATGTCACCTCCTCAGAGAAGACTTCCCAGCCTCTGTTCTGGTCTCCCCCCCCCCATACACACTCATCAAATTTGTTTCCTTCTTAGGCTTTCCCCCAACTTGCAATTATAGATTTCTTTGCTAAGTTCCCTGAGGGCATGATCTATTGTCTTCTGTAAACCTGATGTTTAGAAGAATTAGATGACAGGCTGAGGATGTAGCTTAGAGATAGAGCACTTACCCAGCATGTGTGAAGCCCTAGGTTTGATTTCCAAGCACTGCAAAGGATAAAGGAAATAAATGCCAGGCATGGTGATGTATGTCTGTAATCCCACCACTAGGGAGGCTGGGGCAGGAGGATCTGAGGCAAGAAGATGACTGCAAAGTTCAAGGCTGGCCCGGAGTACATAGTGAGATCCTGTCTCAGAACAACAGAAAGGAAATAAAGAAGCAAAGAGTTAGATGGTTGGATAGGTGCTGACACCTACAGCTTCGAACCAAGGGACTGTCAGAGGAAGGAGTGATATGCTAGAAGAGATGGAGGAAGGCTTTGCAGAGGAGGCATCCAAGTGAGTAGGTCTCATCTACTTGGGCAGAAGGGAAGTGCATGCCAGACAAAAGGAACAACCTCAACAAGGGCATGGAGCACTTCTGGTGCCTGGGGAACCAGCAAGGCTGGGGTGTGGGAATGGACGATGAAAGATAGCCAGGAAGTGTCCTGTTCTGTAGACAGGGGAAGAGCCCTCCAGAGCTTGTGGTGCCGTGGAGCGAGGCCTATTTACACTCCGCTTTCTTCCTATGCCTGCCTCAGCCTGCCTGCCTGCTATGATTTCCCTAAGAGAACAGAAAGCAATTTCACTAAGTGTGTGCTTCATTTGCCTCTGTTCACACAGGTTTTCTGGGCTTACTGGCAAATTCTATTTTGCTAGGAGCTTCCTCAGACTAGCCTAGTACCCAAGAAATTCTAAGGAGCATTTCAGTTTGACTCCAAAGTCTTGGAGCCCTGGAAATGGCCTAGATATTTTTAGTGCAATGGGCAACATTTGGGAGAAGAGGGATTAAGCTTCTGCCGCTGGGTTTGAAGTTCATCCTCCTTGTGCAACAAACGAAAATTTCTATACGTTGTTCATGACCGCAAGTCATGAACTACAGCCGTGGACCCTGCCCTTCCCAAGCCACTGTCCTGTGAGGAATTATCACTATTCACAAAGAAGAAAATGCAAGGGGAGGAGAGGCACGAATATGGCACAAAGGGGAACGCTGACTTGGGAAAAGGTATGTTAAACACAGTGATAAACCTCTTTGCTAGATTTTCCTAGGGGCAGTGAGAAGAGCCCAGGTTTGGTTTCAGATTCACTTGATCTTTTTTTTACCCTCCCAGTACTAGGAATTAAATCCAGGGGCACTGTACTATTGAGCTACATTCTAAGTCCTTTTGTTTACTTAATTTTTTAAAATGTTGAGACAGGGTATCACCAGCCCAGGCTGGTCTCCAATGTGAGATACCCAGCTCAGCCTCCTGTGCAGCTGGGTGCCACATCAAAGCCCTTGCCCCAGGGGGGTTCTCACATTTGGGGGTGGAGCCACAGGGTTAATAAAGTCCTCTGTACTGTGGCAAGGGGTCAGAAGTATTCTGAAGAGAAACAAGTCAGGCCAGAGGTTAGAGAGTGCTGTGCTGGGGGAGTGGCTAGGAGAGGCTGGGAGGTCAAGGAAGGCATCTGGAGGGCAGAGTCCCAGTAAATGAGGAGCAAACTGGGCAGAGTGCAAAGGTCTGAGGCAGGAGTGTGAGGCGGCTGCAGGGGGCAGGAGTGTGAGGGGGCAGATGGGCGTGGCCAGATCTGAGTTGCCAGGGAATTGTATTCTTAGGCCGATTGAAAGCTTCTGAGCGGAAGAGGGACATCATCTGACAGGAATGCTTTACAAGGAGCAAAGAGAGACGGTGACTTGGGCCTGGCTGTGAGGGAGAGAAGTGAGAACATGCCTCAGGATACATGTTGTTTGCTGGTAATTGGATGTGAGAGGTAAGAGAAAAAGAAGAGATAACAGCAGTTTCAAGGCTTTTGATGTGAAGTTTATTGAAATTCCACTTCTGCTACTCCTTCCATGCAGCGTCTCTTACAAATCAAAACAGGGCCGGGCTGTAGCTCGGTGGTAGAGGTATGAGCACAAGACCCTGGGTTCGACCCCCAGCACTACGAGACAAAAACAGAAGCAAACCCCACACAGCTTTATGGAGATGTAATTCACTGACCTAAATATAATTCTCCCACAGAAAGCATACAGTTCAGTGTTTTATAGTATATTCCCCGTTGTGCAGCTGTGACCACCATGGACTTTAAAACATTCTCATTGCCCCCAAAGCAGCTATGTATTAGTAGCCACTCCCATTTCCTCTCAAGTCCATGGCCCCAGGCAACCACTAATATACTTTCTGTATTTCCTATCTACTTTTGGCCCTCTTAGGGGTCTCAGAACCCACTTGCCCATCTGTAACTTCACAAGTGATTGTAAGGTTTTACAAGATAACATGAAAAGAGAACACAAGGAATGTCTAAAAGAGACAGCCCTTGTCCCACCTCGGCTCACCATTTGAGAACGGGATGGCAGCATCGACAGCGGTGAAGAACCTGGTGCAGGACCCAGACTGCTGGCTTGGGAATTGGAAGCTCAGCCGTTTATTAGCTTTGCAATTTTGGCAACGTTGTTTAACTTCCCTGGGGCTTTGGATTCCTTAACTGTCAAAAATGGATCACACCAAGTGCTCCTAGTAAAAACATGAAGCCCTGGGAAGAATGCCTAGTATGTACCAAGTGCTCAGCGAACGTTAATTGGTGTGGTGTTCTCACTTTTAGTCAGTTCCAAGGAGTCCTGCAGACAGGTGGTGGCTCCCAGGTCAAGGCCAGGGGTGGGTACGGTATTTCTGAAGCCAAGCTGTTGCAAGGGTACTTCAGAGACCACTGACTTATTTTTAGGCTTGGTTGTACTTTTGTTGGAATCTGTATCTTATTTTACTTTTTGTCTTTTTGAGATAGGGTCTTGCTGTGTAGTTCAGGCTGGCTATGAGCTCACTTTGTAGCCCAGGCTGGTCTTGAACTCATAACGATCCTCCTGCCTCAGCCCCACCTGGGATTACAGGTGTGTGCCACCAGGCCCAGCTTGGAATCTTATCTTTGAAAAAGTCACTTGTCCCTTTAAACCTCAAGTTGCCATCTGCTAAGTGGAGATAAATATCATTCATACATCAAACTGGCAATGAAGTGACCACTTTATTTTATTTTTGAGAGAGGGCTTTGGTAGTTTCTAGGCTAGCTCTAAACTCATGGGTTCAAGAGATTCTCTGGCTTCATCTTCCCAAAAAGCCGAGACTGTAGACATACAGCACTACACCCAGCTATATTATTTATTTTTTAATGGGGAAAAGAACCCACAAGCCAGGCGTGGTGTTGCACACCTGTAATCCTCGCACTCAGTAGGCTGAGGCAGGAGGATCATTGCAAGTTTGAGACCAGCCTGGGCTACAAAGTGAGCTCGAGGCCAGCCTGAACTGCATAGCGAGACCCTGTCTCAAAAAGACAAAAAAAATAAAAAATAAAAAAAAGAACCCACAAAACTTATTGTATGGCTAAGCATCAGAGTGTTAGACTCCTTAGTAACCTATTTGGTACCTACCATGTGTAAGGCACTGTTTGAACACAACAGGTAAAAACTTTTGCTCCCCTGGAGCTGGTGTGGAATTAGCAGAGAGAGAAGCAGAGAGTAAATAATATTTACAGTATTTATAATAAGTAAAAACAACCTAGGGGCTTAGGATGTAGCCCAGTGCTAGAGTATTTACTTTGTTAGCATATGCAAAGCCTTGGGTGAAATCTCTAGCAGCATCAAAAAGCAAAAAGCAAACAAAAGACATAAGAAAGCACATGTGTAAAGCAGTGCATGGCTGCAGTTAGGGATAAGGATCACACAGCAGAGACAGGACTCAAGGTGATTGCCAGCCTGTTGTCCTCTCAGGCCTTGCCTCATTTCCACTCCAGGGCAGTTTCTGGTTGCCTGGTTGAAATCTCTGACTCTTGTGTAATGCAGTTTGCCTCTCTCTCTCCCTTCAGCCACCATTTAAGGGTGCCACCTGTGTCAGGAGTTGGCTTTCCTGATGGCTGGGAAGGCTGAGTTGCACAATTCTGGAGAGGTGTGGTCTGGACAGTAGAGCCCCTGGGCATTCTGTGGCCAGGCTCGAGAGCTAGGGGGCCCTGGAGGTATCTGAGCTGGGTGAGAAAGTTGGCAAATCTTTATAGCAATTTCCTTTAAACATTGCACGATAAAAGTAAATATTTGCATTATGGTTAAATGAATAGTCTGTGTTTAAAGACTGCAGTCAAACTGAAGAGAGCCTGAGGCGTGGTGACACACTGGTGCAGTGTCAGCTACTTGGAAGGCTGAGGCAGGAGGACTGCAACTTTGAGGCCAGCCTCAGCAACTTAGCCCTGATGTAGCTTTGGGGAGAGTGCTTGCCTTGCATGTGTGAGGATTTACTCTCTAGTGTTACCTGAACAAGCAAAACCTAAAGAGCTGTAAAAATGGCCCTGTACAGACAGGTTGAAGAGCAAAGAGACCTTTGGGCAAAAGATATCTCAGTGGAGAAAGTATGCTGCTGGGTCAGCAGGAAAGGTGGCAAGTGAAGCAGAGACGTTTTGGAACCAGATATAGTTTAACTCTACCAGCAGCAAGCTATTGCCCCTTCCTGACCCTGCAGTTCTCGAGCACTGACTAGGCACACAGGAGGAGGCATGTATTATTAAACATTAATAGCAATATCATTAGTAACAGTGCAGCACTGTGGAAAGAGTTCTGTGTCAGCCAGAACTATGTTCAATCCTGATATAGCCAGAGTAAACTGCTTAACCTTTTTTTTTTTTTTTTTTTGTCTTTTTGAGACATGGTCTTACTATACAGTTCAGGCTGGCCTTGACCTCACTTTGTAGCCCAGGTTGGTCTTGAACTCGCAATGATCCTCCTGCCTCAGCCTCCCGAGTGCTGGGATTACAGGCTTGTGCCACCACACCTGGCTACTAAACCTTTCTGAGTCTTGGGTTGTCTCCATATCTGTAAAATAAGTATCTCCCTTGTAGGGTTGGGCTAGGGCATAAACGTGGTAACATGAAATTTCTATGCTAAACAGTTCAGTTAAGTGCTATTTTCAAATCAAAATGCAGCGAGTTTTATTGACTATTCTGATAGTAAACAATAAAAAAAAAATTTAATGTTGCCAGGTGTGGTGGCACATGCCTGTAATGCCAGTACTTGGGAGGCTGAGGCAGGAGGATCGTTGAGTTCAAGACCAGAACATTCTGGCTCCAAAACATCTCTGCTTCACTTGCCACCTTTCCTGCTGACCCAGCAGCATACTTTCTCCACCGAGACATCTTTTGCTCCTCAACCTGTCTGTACAGGGCCATTCTGCAGCTCTTTAGGTTTTGCTTGCTCAGGTAACACTAGAGAGTAAACCCTCACACATGCAAGGCAAGCACTCTCCCCAAAGCTACATCAGGGCTAAGTTGCTGAGGCTGGCCTCAAAGTTGCAGTCCTCCTGCCTCAGCTTTCCAAGTAGCTGACACTGCACCAGTGTGTCACCACGCCCCTGGCTCAAAGTGAGCTCAGCATGAACTGCATAGTGAGACCCTGTCTCAAAAAGACCAAAAAAAAAAAAAAAAAAAATTAATGCATCTGAGGTTATCAGTGGCAATGGATGTGTCCTGTGCTGTTAACTGCTGTTTTCTGGGCTAG